AATTATTCTATAAAAATTAAATATATTAAATATGAATAAAAATTCTTTCATTCTCTGACTTGACTAAATATTTCTATTTTAAGGATTTAACAGTGTTTACTATTTTTTTTCAAAGTATTTTATAAAAATTACGTATATATGTTTGTCAAATAACATTTCGATACATTTCGATATATTTCGATACTTTCAAAAATTTAATATATTATAATTTAATATTGATATTTCTATTTAAAAAATTAAAAGTAAATTAAGTAAAATAAAAGTAAATTAAGAATACACATCATTTATTTTATTTTTAATATAAAATGTTTTAAATTTCCAATAAAGTATTTGATACTTAATACTTTAATGAGTCTTCTAATTATTATTTATTTAAAAATTGTTTGAATTCGTTTAATATCTTCATTTGTTTAACTTTCTAATTTCTATTTTTTATGATTCAGTTTGGATTCAGTTTGGATCGAACTTTGAGCGATGCAATGAATCCTTATTTAGACAGTCATCAAGAGAGATGTGTACTCCAAGAAATTTCGAGCGTCAAGCCGGATTTCGAACAGAGAAATGACAGCGCAGTCATATATTTCACAATGGATTTAAAGAACAATGTGTATGTATCGTTCATTTGTAGATTGTATCTTGATACATTATTACACTTGTTTTATAAATTTGCTGATATAAACTAATATGAACAAATGTGTTTCAGATTGAGAGTAAATTGTAGTCGAAACGTACATACTGCACATATTTACAAAGATTCCAGCAAAATATTAGTTTTTCGAGAAAAAAGAGATTCTTTTCCAAATAGATTTAGCGATGCCGTGCTTTTTCCACGAAGAAAACGTTATACTCCGTATGGTGAGTTGAAGTTTTTTAATACGGTCAATTAATCTACAATTACACAAACTTAATTTTTATTTAATAAACTTCCTATTAAAATCGAATATTACATCAATTATTTGAAATTTTTAAATTATTCAAAATTTTACTCGAATTCAGAATAAAATCTGATTAAATTCAATTATAAATATATTATAATAAAATTCTAATTAAAAATTTATTTTTTTGTGGAACCATTTCTTAATTAAATAAATCTCTTTTTTCGTTATATTAAAATTAACAAAATTTCATTGATTTCTTGTAAAATAACATTTAAAAAATATTAACATAAAAGAATAGCGATGTTAACATGAAACGATAAGGATTTAATACTTGTCTTAGTACTTACACTCTTAACTTTGGCAGGCATCCAAACGTAGGAAGTAATCGCGGGAAATATCTTGTTGAATGGATAAAGTATAACTTAGTAATACATTGAAATTTCCGCATATTTCATATTGTTCTACTAATTTGCATATATATGTACACACATACACACATATATATATATATTTATTTCATAAAGATTTTAATTTTATAAAATGCAAGAACTATTTTCATTGTCATTCATTAAATAATATTGAATAATATTTAAAAAATTAAGAAGATTATATTATTTTTATACATTATTAAAAATAATTTTCATTTCTGTATAATCTATCTGTTTTACAATATAAAAATATATATAATATAAGATATATATCTTTGAATGTATCTATCATATTGTAGGAATCATAGGAATTTAATATTACATCATAAAGATTAGAAATTATAATGAATATACATGTAGTATACATTTCTTTGCACGATAAAAGAATAATGAATCATACGACCTGTCAATAAGATAATACAAATGTCAAACATTTTCAATCAATTGTGTGATGTATATATATCATTGAGCTTGTGCTACTTATTTCATCTGACAGTTAATATTCAATTGATTATTCATTGAGAAAAATATCACAGAGAAACATATCAACACTGTACAATGCTTGAGGCGAAATTGATTTTGACTTTAATGCGCCATACGATATTTATAAAAACATAATGATACGGCTTTCTAGTTTTCATAAAAGTTATACTCGAGTTATACTCAAAACTCTAATGCATATATTGTTCAAAAAAAATTTCTTTAGCATTTAATGAACATTGTTTCCACGATTATGAAACTAAAAACGACTCTGATCGATATCTTATGGAATGTGGACCTGAAGCGACATCGGCGATCGAACACTACCGAGATGAGAGTCGCTATAATTAACATGAGTCGTCCTCAATTTTATAAATAACTCGAAACTCAACTATTTTTGAAGGTTTGGTTAGGTAACTGTCTTCTACAGTAGTATATTTTATGGCAATGACATATGAATGAGATTATATCCCAAACTTGCGGCCAAAATTATACTCGATTAAGTTTTTTTAATATATGTACAAAAAAAAAAACTTTTTCATGTACTTTTAGTATATGAAAATTTTTTAATTTTTTATAAATTTATATATTTATTTTTTTTTTAAAAGTATTATTTATTGTTAATTTATTAATTAGTAAAATTTTTATAGATATCGAAAGACTCAATACCGAAGATGAATATGAATCCAGATCAGAAAGTAGCGCTTGTTCTTTAAATTTATCAATGACGGTACAAATTATAAAAGGAGAAAGATATTATAATACAAGTTTTGCTATGTATGTCGCTAGCGAAGAAGAAGAAGGTCTTTATAATCTTCATTTCCATAACTGTCCAAATTATAAATATGATTCTCAAGTTGCATTGGATTTCACGGTAAGATCCTCCTTTTTTTTTTCACAATGTTAGTTGATTGAAAACGTTTATAATATGTTAATATGTATTAAGAAAATATAATTTACAGATACAAATATCGGAAATAAATAGTGGAAATTTTCTAAGTGCAGGAGAA